TGGGAAGGACCCGATCTTACTTTCTGGTTAGCCCAATTCTGTGGTCCTCACAAAACGTATCAACACTCTTTTAGTTGAAGGGCACCATACCACCTGGTGCCCCGCCTCTTAGCAGAGGCACTTTCAAAAGCATTTTCTTAAGGAGGAAACAGGAAAAATCACCCTCTACACACACGTGTTTTTTTCTCTTGTAAGAGAAAAAAGATTCTTTATTGCAGGATGGACCACCGACTGTTCAAATAAAGAAACCTAAACTTTGAAAGACCTGCATTTTTTTAAAGCAGTGATAAAAAATATATGGGGAAAACTTTGAAATAACTGTCCCAAAGATTTAAAATCAAAACCTCAGCAAAAAAATTTTTAAACTTTTCTAATAGCAAAATCTTATTCGGTAAACATTACCTGATTTTTAGATTTAAACATTTTCTAAATTGAGGTGAAATGTAAGAAAGATAAAATACATCTTCCTTCCTTGATACGAAATACATAGAAAATAACAAAAGACATCTCGACACTGAAAACCTGCTCTGGTCCCGAGCGTGGTCTTCAGCCCCTCTTTGTTAAAGGTAAGGAAGTTCGCCAGGCGGGCAGTGTTTGGAAACTGCGCTCTAAGGCCACTGGGCCTCATAGTCATCAGAAAGGAGCCGGAAATGGTAGCATTCAGTTTCCAGCCTCCTCAGAAGGATGTCCGCCCTGATAAAATGTAAGAGGACTCTTTGGCAGGTTTGCCAGCTTTCCTAAAGTCATTTAACTAAAATGCTTCAGCGCCGATAAGCCATTTGGAAAGGTGTCTCCCAGTTTCCACGAAGCATTTGATAGGAATCCCTCCCAAAGGTGCTGGCCACCCCTTCTCGAGGGTGTTCTGGGACTCCGGCAAGAGCATCCCGGGTAGGAGCTGGGCTGCTTTGGTCATGGCGGTGGTTCTTCTAAGGGCAGGGGGTGACGAGGGCTTGGCACTGAGACTGCACTGCTGGAGGGTAGGAGCCCACCGTCAGCGGCGGGCCGCCATCCCCAGGCTTCAGGGCTGACTCTTATGCCATCTTTGTGGCTATCAACAAGCAGCTTTAAACTTGGTCCCTTTTCAAACTGCCCTGAAGTATTGTCTGCAGTTGGAACTCTTACGTCTGCAAGACTGCAAAATGCCTTGAATTAGGGGCTGCGTTGGGACCGCACATTCGGTCACACTTAGTCCTGCGGGTCGAGCCACCAGCGTGACGGCGCCACGCGGAGCGGTCCCAGCGGGCTCAGCAATCTGGAGGCGGTTTGCGGAGCCCAGCGCTTGGGAGCATCCACCACGCACTGAACTTGCGGAGGGGCACAGAACCCCCACTCCTCGCTGTCTTCCAAGCCACAGGGTGGCCTTGCCCCGCTGGGGAAGAAACCAGGCCACCCTTCCTTCCCAAAGAAACCTCACTTCATCCCAAAGTGTCCTGTGTAGTTCTGACCGCCCTAACCTCGGCCCGGCCCGGAACCGCCTGCATTTGAACCGAGTTCCTACAGCCGGGATCCACTGAGAGGCTGCACCAGCGAAGGCCAAGTGCGTGCACTCAGCACTGGAGAAGAGGAGACACCTATTGGCAAGAAGGCGCGCTCGAAATCAGGGCTGCTCTGGGGAAACACCAGGGGGACACGACTTCTCAATCTGTGCCGCGCGCCTGCCGCGCGCCGGGGACGCCGCGTCCCTCCGGGCGCTGAGACCCCGGCCCAGCCTGCTCGCCCCTCCCCGACCGGGACCCCGCGGGGCGCGCGGGCGGGACGGGCGCGGGGCTGGGGGGCGCCAGGGCTGGGGGGGCATGGGGGCCGCAGTGGGGGGCGGCGGCCGCGCCGGCTTACCTTCCTCCGCCGACTTCATGGTGCCGCCGGCGGGCGGCGCGGGCCTCAAAGTTTCTCCGCTCCCGCAGACTGCAGCCGGAGGGCCGAGTGGAAACTTGGAAGGGCCTGGAAAACTGGTACTTGGCATCCACGCGGCGGCGGCGGGGAGCAGGAGGAGGAGCGGGAGCAGCGGGAGGAGCGGGTGCCCTGCGCCGCCGCCCGGGGTCGGGTCTCCGCGGGAAGGTGGACCTCTCCCCCGGCGAACGCGCGCCGGCCTGGGCTCAGCGCCGCGCACCCCGGAGAAATGTCATTGAGGGGCGTGTGCGTGCGTGGCGGGGCCGGGCTGCGGCCCTGGGACCTGAGCGGGTGGCGGAGTGGCAGGGTGGCGGGGGCTCGGAGGTGTGGCCCGCGCCCCGGTCCCCGCTCCCGGCCGCCCGGTCCGGCGCGGTGACTGTGCCGGCGAGTGCGGAGTCTCTAAGTCTCGCTCTGACGCAGGGCCGCGCTCTGCCTCCTGCCTTTTTAAAGCTGGAAAACACCTCCCCCGCCTCCCCGCCCCCCGGCCGCTCCCGCGCCCTCCCCGCCGTGACATCACGCCCCCCCCCCCCGCCCGCCCGAGCCGGAGCGGGGCCGAGCGCCCGCCCCGCCCCGCGCCCAGCCGCCGCTCGCCCGGCCCGCGGGGCGCACGGGGAGGGACGGGGCGCACCGGGAGGGACAGGGGCACACGGGGGGAGGGACGGGGCGCACCGGGGAGGGACGGGCCGCCAGCGGGGGCCGGCGGGGTTGCACCGGGGCGAATCCACCAGCCTGGACGCCTAGGTCCACGCGGGCGTCTGAGAGAGGATCCCTCTGCTTGATGAGGGGGCGGAGGGAGCCGGAGACGAGGGGGTGCGAGAGAGCCCTGCGTGCTGAAGTCATTATGTAAAATCGCAGGCTTCCCCCGCGGTGGAAATTTGGAAAAGCGCTTCCACTGGCAGGCCCGGGAAAGGAAATTCCCGTCCCGCTAAATTACTAACAGATTGCATGGCAGTCCCGGGACGTGGAGTTATTGTCATTTTTACTCTGTAAATACGCGAGCGGCCCAGACTGCCTGTTGCACGAGGCCGCGGGCGGAGGTCGAAGAGAACGGCGGGCGCAGCCCTCCCCGGCCCCCAGCCGCCGGCCCCTGCAGCCCCGGGAGGGCCGGGGGCGTTTTGTAGGCGAGACTTCGGGGTTTGGAAGCGACTTGAGGGGCTGGTCTGAGAGCTGAGAGCGGGTGCTCGGGACGGCCTCCCCAGCGCCGGCCGTTTCACTTCACACTTTGCTCTTTCCAACCCTCCTGCCGCTCCTCCGCGCAGCCCCGCTGCCAAGACGGGACCGTAGTTTCGTGTTGGCCTTGGGTGGACGGGCTTGGAGTGTGAGGGCGGTTAAAATGTCTGGCGTATAAAAATCGTAAATCTATTGCACGACACCCTTATGTGGTTTAAAATAAACCCAAAAGCAAAAGGCGTGTCTGCCCCGGGGACCCAGGAGGCCTGCAGGACGCCGGTGGATGCCCCAAACGACTCTGCGCGGGGCCCCAGGGAAACGGGGAGGGGGTGGGGGTTGGTGCCACACTGCCCCGTCCGGTGGGTTCGCTGGCTGCTCGGTGGATGTGGAATAACAGGAAGGTGCCAGCGGGAGCGATGCCCACGTCACCACCGTGGGTCATTCCTGCCGAGCGCACTCGGCACAGCCGACATCCCTGCTCCCCCTCGCAGGTCTCCCGCCGCGCGGGTGTGGGGAGGGGGTCGCCGCGCCTCTGCGCGTCTGGGTGGGCGTCACAGCCCTTTCCAGGGATCGCTACCTGTAGATCTGCTCCCTCGCCGAGAGCCGGGACTGGCACGTGCCTCGGTGACCCCAGCGCAGGGAGAAGGGGGCCCGGGGGTGGACGCTGGGGGTGGGGGAGACCCCACGAGGACACTGAGGCGCGGTGGGGGGGAGGGGGCGGCGGGGGCGGGGGCCAGGCAGCGCTGGGGGCCGCCAGGGGGCGCCAGGGCCGCGCCGCCCGCCCCTCCCGCGCCCCTCCCTTTAAACGGATCTCTGCGGGCAGCGGGGTGTCCCCAGACCTGGGGCCAGGATTTTGCTCGGAGAGTCTCCGCTCCCCCGTCCCAGCCCCTCTTCTTCGCCCCCAGGAGCCGTTGTGGGGGAGCGAAGGGAGGTCTGCAAGTTCAGTTAAACTCAAGGCCGACCCCTACCCCTCGCGGCCGCCCCTCCGGCGCCGCCACGCGCGCCCGGCCGGTCCTCCCGGACCCGGAGCCCGCGGGACCCACGGGGGCGGGGCGGGGCGCCTCTCGGCTGGGGAGGGGCCGCAGTTGGGGGCTGTTGGCCGCTGCTCCTCCTCCTCCATCTCCTCCTCCTCCTTCTCCTCCATTTCCCCCTCCTCCTGCTTTAATAAATAATTTTCACTCCATCCAGAAAAGCTCTTTTCCTGTCTGCTCTCAATGCTCTCCTTATTCCCCCGCCCGGGTGACGGAATCCCCGTCTGTTTCCCTCTGTTTAATGCCGTTGCCGGGACCACGGTGGCCGCGCGCCAGGGCGCAGGGAGTTCCGGAGGCGGCGGCGCAGCTCCGCGGCCAGCGCGCCCCCGTGTCCGCCTCGGCCGGCCCTGCGGCCACCGCGGGGCCACCGGGCTCCGTCTCCGCGGCCGCAGCCCCCCGCGCTCCCCTTCCGCCTCGCTCGGTCCTCCGGGCTGCTCTCGAGGTGTGTTTATGGCTGCTACTAGGAGAGACGTTACACGGATTTTATTTTAAGAATTGGTGATGACTAACGAAGTTAAAAGGAGCTGAGGACAGAAAACAAGACTATTTTTAGATTACTGTTGTTTCTGTGGATTATTGGGGCAAATACGCCCAGAGAAGCTTACCATTTTCAAAGTCTCTTTGGATGCCAAATCCTTTCTCCTGGAGCGCACTTGGGTGTTCATCCGGCCCAATATTTCCTAGAGACTCGGGCAATCCCCGTTGCTTGGGTTTTTGTGTTTAAGCACAACTGCCATGGAGACTCCATCCTCAGTGATGTGGGCGGTCCGGCCAGGGTCAGGAGGACCTGAGAACGCTCTGGCCTGGCTGGAGCTGCCCTGAAGGCGGCTGCTCTGTCCTCCTGCCCCGGGAGACGGGCTGGGGACCTGCCCTGCCCACCTGGCCTGGAGCTTTCCATCCTCTGGTGCGTCTTCCGCACACACTGCACTGGTCCAGGCTCCTGGACAGGGGCGGTAGCCATGGCCCAGCCTGCCTTCCTGTTACTCAGTTAAACACCCAGGTGCCACTGTTTGCTCCAGAAAATCGCCTCAAACATCTGCGAGCTAAACGTGAGTGTTTATTCTTGCTGGATCCACATTCTGAGCCGTGACAGTGGTCACTTTAAAACTTCGTTTAGAAACCTTTGAGCACCTGACTCCTCTGCCCGGCAGGTATGGGTTCTCCCGCCTGACAGCACCTTCTGACCAGCAGGGAACAAGCACAAAGGCTGAACAGAGATGCTAGGAAGTATGCTGGGGATGCTGGCGTTTAGCCAGACAGTGGAGATTGGCACTGAATTAAGAAATCAGAATTATGGAGAAGTTATTTACTTTTACGTAAACTGCTGAGATTCTTTTTCAAAGCCAGTGCAAGTGACTGTCACAGCTGTGGCTGGAGTTGAGAAGGACGGGGATTCCACACCTGTGTCGGCACCTGCAGACTTTCCTTTTAAAGTCTGGAGTTCTTAGAGATCCCTGAATTGGGGGCTCAGAGATTCCACACTGTGCTTTTATTTGTGAAGTCTCTTTGATCCCTCCCCTCGTCCCTGGAACATTGCAAAGGCTTCATCCCCTGCCTGAACTCAGCCCAGCCACGTGCTCCCGGCACCACCACAAGTCCAAAACCCCAACTGTCAATCAACCAACTTACCCCCTTCAGCCCCGCCCAGGGCATCCAGATCAAGGCTACATGGCTCAGGATGGTGCCTGACGTCCTGCACCCTCCACAGCCAAGGACCTCCTCACCAGGAAGTCACTCCCCATCACTGTCACCCACCGGCTGAGATTTGGAGTCATCTCCCCCATCTCTGCTTGGTCAACTGCCAGAGCCGGCCTCTGCTCCTCCTTCCCCCTCTGCCTGGGGTCCTTACCACTGTTCTGATAGGTCCTTGCCCACCTCCCTAGCCCCCTCTCACTGCCTGTTAGTGTGGGGGCCTCAGTTTGCTTTACTGCCTAGTTTGTGGTCCATGTGGAGACTGTCCACGTGCAGTTGAGAAGAACGTGTGTCCTCCTGTTGCTGGGCGGACTGCTCCACAGATGGCTAGCAGTCTAGCTGGTTCCCGGTGTTGTTTGCGTCTTGTGTTTCCTTGTTGGTCTCCTGTCTGGTTATTAATCCATTATTGAAAGTGGAGTATTGGAGTCTCTGTTATTGTAGAACTATCTCTTCCTTCCTTCATTCCATCAGTTTTGGCTCCATATATTTTGGAGCTCTGTTGTTAGGTGCTCATATGTTTATAATTGTTATGTCTCCCTGATGAACTGGCCCTTTTATCGTTATGAAACATCTTTCTTTCTCTCTAATCACACTTTTTCTGTTAAAATCTATTTTGTCTGACATTAGTACAGCCACTCCAGCTTTCCTGTAGTTGCTCTTTGCATAATATATCTTTTTCCACCCTTTTAGTCCATTTGTACCTTTGAATCTAAAGTGTGTCTCCTGGAGCCAGTGTGGGATTGGGTCATTTTTTAAATTCAGCTTGCCAGTCTGTGCCATTACATTGGTTTGTGTAATCCATACACATTTAATGTTATTATTGATAAAGTTGGGTTTACATCTGACGTTTTACTTTGTTTTCTGTTCTTCTAGTGTCTTTTTTGTTCCTCTATTCCTCCTTTATCGCTTTCTTTTACAGTAAGTGAATATTTTCTGATGTAGCATTTTAATTTCTTTAATGATTTAAAAATTTTTTTCTTATTTCCTTAGTGATTGTTCTAGGATTTACCATATACATTTTATTTATTTATTTATTTACTTATTTATTTTTTGGTGAGGAAGATTGGCCCTGAGCTGACACCTGTGCTAATCTTCCTCTATTTTGTACGTGAGATGCCACCACAGCATGGCTTGGTGAGCAGCACATAGGTCCACGCCCAGGATCTGAACCAAAAACCCTGGGCCACTGAAGCCTAGCATGCGAACTTAACCACTACACCACTGGGCCAGCCCCGCCATATACATTTTAACCTCATGACCAACTTCAGATTTATACTAGCTTAATTCCAGTGAGCATAGACGTGTTATTCCTACACAGGTCTTTTCCCTTTCCTCCTTTCTATGGTGTCATGTGGCACACATTCCAAATAGTACAGTTACATAATTACCTTTACTGGCACTCTGGTTTTTCATGTGGATTCACATTTCTGTCTGGAGTTGCTTGCTTTCAGTCTGAAGAAGTTACTTTAGTATTTCTTGTAAGATGGGTTTGCTAGCAGCAAATTCCTAGTTTTTGTTTATCTGGGAAAATCTTCATTACACCTTCCTTTTTGAAAGCTACTCTGCTGAGTGTAGGATTCTTGGTTGACAGTTTAGTTTTTTCTTCGAGCACTTTGACTGCATTCCTTCTGGCCTGCATTGTCTCTGCTGAAAAGCCACTGTTGGTTTTATTGGGGTTCCATTATAAGCAATGCATCATTTTACTCTTGCTGTCTTCAAGATTTTCTCCTGGTCTTTGATTTTCAGTGTTTTTACTATAATGTGTCAGTTGGTGGGTCCTTTTGCATTTATCATTCATTGAGGTTTCTGGATGTGTAGGTTATTGTTTTTCAATAAATTTGTGACATTTTCAGCTGTTATTCCTTTGAATATTTTGTCTTCTCCTTTCTCTGTCCCATTTCCTGCTAACAGTCCCATTACGCATATGTTGGTGCACTTGACAGGGTCCCACAGTTCTCTGAGGCTGTCTTCATTTTTCTTCATTCTGTTTTCTCTGTGTTCTCAGCTTCCATAATCTCCATGGAACTATCTTCAAGTTCACCCGTTCTTTCTTCTGCCAGTTCCCCTCCAGTGAATCTTTTACTTCAGTTATTGTACCTTTCAACTCCAGAATTTCCCTTTGGTTCTTTTTCATAGTTTCTGTCTCTTTCTTGATAGTGTCCATTTGACGTGACATTGTCATTGCACATTCCTTTACTCCTTCACTCAGGCTTTCCTCTGGTTCTGTGAACAGCTCTGCGGCGGACGTCCTGAAGTACTTCTCTGTTAGACCCAGCACCTGGTCACTCTCACGGGCAGTTTCTGTCGCCTGCTTTGCTTCAGATATGGCTCACGCTTTCCTGTTTCTTTGCCTGCTTCTTAATTTTTTGTTGGAAACTGGACATTTTAGACACTATATTGTACCAACTTTGGGTCTTGGTACCACCCCCCCCCCCAATCTGCGGATTGTTATGGTTGTTTGCTTGTTTATTTGTTTAGTGACTGGTTGGATTATTTTAGTAAAGTCTACTCCCCCTCACCCACAGTGTCCAGCCTCTGCCCTTGCTCCTCAGGGAGGCCCAGCCTGGGGACCCGGACAGTCGCTGTGGGATGTCAGCAGTACTGGCGGGGCTCTCCTTCCCCAACCACACCCAGCCGTTAAGCCCCACTAATAGGATTCCTCTGTTGTTTTCAGCAATGTCCCGGGGCACAAATTGCTCTACTAACCAGCCAGTCAAACTGTGGCTCTTGGGATGGAATAGTTTCTGAGGCCAGTGTCTGGTATTTGTTCTGACCCCAGGAGGGCTCCTCCAGATGTCCTCTACCCCAGTTCTTCCTGCAAACTAGCCAGCCTGCAGCCTAGGCTGTGTCTTCATTAGATCCGTGAATCTCCTCATTTTCCTTCTACAACTGCCACTGCTCTTGAAAGCACCCTTGGGTTCAAACACCGCTTTCTGTTGCAAATGAAGTCTGTTCCTTTGGGAGGAAACCAGGAGCTGCCTACGGCCTGTGTTACACCCCCCCACACCCCCCCCCCCACACACACACCCTCTCCCGCAAAACCTCTGCCCCAGGCTGTGGAGTTGGGGATGGAACAGTGGTAAGCTGCACCCCCTCCCCACCACCCCCAGGAGTTGAGTGCTTGGGGGCAGCACGCTGAGGTCCTCACATCACCTCTCCTAGCATGGAACCACCTCTTCATGAGTGGAGAGAAGGGATCATGGCCCCAGTATTCTCAGCCACATCCAGGGAGCACCTTCATCCCACAAGGGGCAGTGGACAGAGTAAGGGAGCCCCCCCCCCCAGTGGACCCCTCCAGGACCCCAGGGACTCAGCCAGCAGCAGGCAGCGGGGGGCAGGACCAGCCACACTGAAGTCCCACTCCTCCTGGGAAGAAAGCCCCGGGCTGGGGCCTGGGAGCGGGGAGCCCTCTGTTCCTGGCTGCAGCCTCTGGGGTGGAGTCTCCTCGCAGAACTAGGGAGTCTTGGTTCAAATACCAAAGACTCTTGCTTTCTTAGTGAGTTTTCATAGATTTTCTTGAACAGATGTTTCATTTGCTTTTTGCCCTTAGGACCAGTTCCAGAGGCATTAAATGGCTGCTTTTGTTTTAAAGGATTTTCCAGTTTCACTGGCGAGCGAGCAGGTCTGTGGAGATGGTTACAATGGTCTTCACCTCTCAGGGTTGTTGTGCGGGTTAAATGAGGTGACATCCCTTAGGTCAGCGACTGCCCCCTACTGATTGCTCAATAAACTGTAATTATGATTTCAGAGCAACACTGTTATGGGCTGATTTGCGTCCCCCCAAAAGATGTGCTAGAGTCCTAACCCTCAGTCCTGCGAGCGTGACCTTATTTGGAAATAGGGTCTTTGCAGATGAGCTTTGCTCAGAGGAGGTCCTTGTAGGGGGGCCTGATCCACTATGGCCGGTGTCCTCATAAGAAGAGGAGAAGAGACACATAAGGAGAAGGTCATGTGGTGACAGGGGCAGAGCCTACAGTGATGTGACAGCAAGGAACACACGCACCCCGGAAGCGGGAAGAGGCAAGGGAGCATCCTCCACTACAGCTTCCGGAGGCGGCGCGGCCCTGCCCATCCCTTGACTCTGCACTCTGGCCTCTGAAACTGTGAGAGAATACATTTCTGTTAGCTTGAGCCACCCAGTTTGTGGTTATCTGTTATGGCAGCCCCAGGGGACCAACACAAATGCCAAGTGGTTTTTATTTCCCTCCAGGGTACCACGTCACATCATGCTGTCTCCTTCCCTTGAATGCCTGTGGCCCAGGAGGTGCCCCACCCAGCTCTCCTCCCTCCCAAGGACTGCTGTGGAGCATGGCTGACAGCCCCAGCGGTGCCACCTCTGCATCCAGCATCCGTGGGTACCACCACCAGGCCATTCTCGCCTGACACAGCCCTCCCCCATCAGACCGCCTTTGCTTAGGGACCCCCGTTGGCCTGGCCCACACTCCTTATGGGATCATGGGGCCACCTCCCACTCCTTTCAGTGGGCGTGCACCCCACTGAGCCAACAGGACCCAGGCCTGGTGCTTCCTGCCACTGCTGGAGGTTGTCGGGGGTAAGCCCACGGCTCCAAGGCACCCACTGCCCACTGAGGCCGATGTGGGGACAGCAAGTCCAAGGGCAGATTCCTGAGCTGTTTAAGCATCTGAATCCAGCGGGAGCTGGAAGCCACCTCTGAGTTCTTCACCTGCAGAGGGGACAGCTTCCCTTTTTGGCTCAGTCTAGTTTGATCTGAGATTCTGTCAAAACTATAGGAATCCTAGATCATACGAGAGTCATAGCTAGGAGACAAAGAAACAGCAAATAAACATGGCCAGACAGGATCCTTTCTTGCTCCATGAGGATGGGGAGGGCCCAGCTTCAGAGGCACATGGGAAATCACGGTGCTGGGGAAAGGAAGGAGGAAGGAGGAAGAAGGTGGAGGCCAGATGAGCCCTGCCCCGCGGGGCCGCATCTGTCGGGCCTGGCACAGCCTGCTAGCGAGAAAAATGCCTCATTTTTGCCCTGACTTCTCTCGGAAAACACAGTGGGGTGGAGCTGACATCCCGTGGTGGGTGCGGGTCCTGCTGTGCTGAGTGTTAAAATCCGGCACGAGCTCCTGCACCAGTTTGGACATTCGGCCCCTGCCCAGAGTACCTGAGGGCCCTGCTCCCTCTCTGCTCTCCCCTCTGCCTCAGGCCGACTGTGGGCTCACGGGGGTGGCCGGTCATGAGCTTGACTTTATGTCGAAGGAGCAAGAAGTATACCAAAGCCGAGACGGCAGACACTCTGCTCTCTGAGTCTCAGCCTCCTCTGCTGAGCACGTTGCAGGACGAGAGGGGTTCATGTCCCTCACCTCACGTCCAGGGAGAAGGCGGCACGGCTCAGAAGCCTCCTCCTCCTGCAACATCTGCTCATGTCCCCAACCTGGGGGGGAAGACAGATTCTGGCTTTTGTTTCTGGCAAGATCTGGGTTTTGCACCTGTGAATTCACAGTGCTTTTCTTTTGAAAATAATAATAGTAATAATATTAGTTTTCTAATGGCAACATTGTAACTTTTTTTTTTTTTTTTTTTTTTGCCAAGGAAGATTGGCCCTGAACTAACATCTGTGCCAATCTTCCTCTATTTTATATGTGGGGTACAGCCAAGGCATAGCTTGACGAGCTGTGTGTAGGTCCACACCTGGGATCTGAATCTGCGAACCCAGGCTGCTAAAGCAGAGTATGAACTTAAACACTATGCCACTGGGGAAGCCCTGTAACTTTTTTCTTAAACTAGTTGGTTTACCTAAACCTGCTAACTAAGCAGCAACCCAAGCTAAGCCATTATTACCCCCAGCCTCAGACAGGGAGGCTTTCTTAATTTCCTTTTTTGATTCTAATCGACTTTCATCTTTTGCGTGGTGCAGCTCTCATGAGGAGAAGTGAGCAAGAGCCCCAGGCACAGGCTCTGGGCATGAGCCAGCCGCCCCTCCTGCCCATCCAGGGCTCCATCCCCCTGGGAAGGGACAGCATCTGCCCAAGAGCAGGACCCAGCCACGGCGTGGCCTCCCTGAGCTTCACAAAGTATTTTAAAAGCGTTTTTGGTTCAATAAGACTCTAAACAAGTCTTGCCAAGCACTTTTTCCATTAATTTTTAAACCAGAGTGAATTTCAAGGGACATTTAACCCGTGTGCTTCTGAATCATTTCCCCTGAACTCGTCAAGATGCTGCGTCAGAACAGTTGGGGGTCCGAGCGATGGCAGCTCCTCACTGCCCGCCGAAGCCTCTTTTCGTCTTAGAAGCAGGAAGCGGCAAACGAACATGAATCCCTCATCGAGGAGGCCTGGGGCTCGCGGGCGGAGGGCAGGCAGCAGGCGGTGGGCAGGCATGAGGTGAACAGTCGTCAGGACCGCCCAGCTAGGCCCGCAGGGGGCTCCGTTCTGAGGTGGGCGGTGGGCTCTGGGCCGGGTCCCCCCAGGCTTTCCTCCACCTGGGCCTCAGGTACTCAGACAGCGACAGTCCCCTTACAGTGTATTTTTTTAATTGTGTTAAAACACATATAACAACAATTCACCGTCTTAACCAGTTTGAGGCCCACGGTTCTGTGGCATTACAGCACGTTCACACTGTCGTGCAGCCACTGCACCATCCAGTCCCAGAGCTCTTTCCATCTTCCCAGCTGGAGCTCTGTCCCCATGAAACACGAGCCCCCAGCCCCTCCGATTCTGTCTCTGTGACTTTGCACACTCGCTCCAGGTCCCTCGTACGAATGGCATCATACAGTGTTTGTCCCGATGTGAGTGGCTCACTTCACTCACATGTCCTCCATGTTCATCCATGTGTAGCAGGGAGCAGGGGTCAGCACTTCCTTCCTTTTTAAGGCTGAGTAATACTCCATTGAATAGATGGACCACATTTTGCTTATCCATCCATCCGTGGATGGATACGGGTTGTTTCCGCCTTTGGCTGTTGTGAATTATGCCGCAGTGAGCATGGGGGTGCAGACACCTCTTGAGACCCTGCTTTCAGCTCTCTTGGGGGTGTTCCCAGAAGTGGGGGTGCGGGATCCTGTGCTGATTCTGTGTTTGGCTGTTTGAGGACCTGCCAGACTGCTCTCCAAGGCAGCTTCTGCTGAGTTTGCAGGTGCATTATCACGGCCGGCACTGGGGCAGGCTCTCACAAGGGGCGCCCCTGGAGGACTCGGCTCCAGAGGAGACGCCACTAGCTACCTGCCCTCCGCTGGGCGGGAGGCCACAGAGAGGGGCAGCAGGAACTCAAGGCTACTGCCCCGGGCCTGGGTCAGGTCTGGCTGTGTCCGACCATTTCAGAGAAGCCGAGATGCAGTCAGAAGCGGTCGAGCCCCCAACGGCCTGGCGACATCCCCTCCTAGTGCCCGCCCATGTCCTCGGTCGGCTCCCACTGGCCGTGGCCCGGGTGAGCACCCACTGCTGATCACTGACTGCGGGAAGGGGCAACACCTGGCTCCGCAGTCCGAGTTTCCCGTCCCTGTCCACCTGGCCCCTCCTGCTCTCACGACTGGGTGCCAGTCCTCACAGAGCCCTGGGGTTCCGGTGGCAGCGCTGGTGACAGCAGCGCTGGTGACAGCAGCCCTGGTGGGCGCTCCTGCTGCTCCCTGCCAAGCCCTTTTTCCCAGTGTGGGGTCTTTCCAGGGCCTCGGCCTCCCTGCCACTCCAACTGCACCCCTGCGGTGCCAGGTGCCCAACCGGGAGCTGCCCTCTGAGCCAACAGGAGGGGTCCCCAGCACCGCCGGTGGGACACGCTGCTGGCAGGGGTGGCTGCCCTAGTAGGAAGAAGGGCCTCCCTCCCATCTGTCGGCATCTCGGGCAGGGTGGGCAGCCCCTACGCTCTCCTGGGAGGGCTCTCCAGGAAAGTGACAAGCAGACGCAGCACCCTGGCCTGGCTTTATGCCCAGACTTGGCTGAGGGGGAGGCAGATGGGCCCCGGGGTGGCACTGGGACCAGCCAGGACTCCGGAGGGCAGAGGCGAGGCCCTGGCATGGCCTGGGTGCCTGGGGGCTGCTCACAAAGGATTCATAAGCAGAGGAACCGAATGTGGCCGCTGCATGGACTGGCCTCCAGCCCAGGAGCTGTGGCTGCAATGGCCCCAAAGACATCCAGCACGTCCTAATCCCAGGAATCTGAGAAGGTGTCACCTCCCGTGGCAGAAGGGGCTGTGCGGGACGAAGGTGAGGGCCCTGAGCTGGGAGAGGCCTGGGCTGCGGTGGGCCCAGGGCAACCACAGGGTCCTCCTAAGAGGGAGGCCGCAGGGTCTGGGGAATGGACGGTGAGGACAGAAGCGGTAGAGGGGGGTTGGAAGATGCTGCGCTGCTGGCTTTGAGGATGGGGGACGGGGCCATCAGCCAAGGATGCGGGCGCCTGTTGAAGCTGCAAGAGGCAGGGGATTCGTTCCCCCTGGAGCCTGCAGAAGGAGCCAGCCTGCCCACACCTGGGTTTCTAGCCAGAGAAACCCACTTTGGGTTTCTCACCTCCAGGACTGTGAGAGAACATGTGTTGTTTTTTCCACTAATTTTGTGGTCATTTGTTAGGGTTGCAATAGGACTAACACAGTCTGATGCAAAATCAGGACTGTGTTCCTTCAATGTTCCTACATACGCCTTCTGTGGTCTCCCGGCCCCAGCCCAGCCCTTCATCATTTCTCAGCGGACCACTGCTTTCCGGACACTTCGGTCATTAAATATCCAGCATAAACCTTCCTCCACAGGGCAGGGTGGGAGGTAGGAGGCTGCAAGCCCCTCTCCTCCACTCTCACTCCTGGGGGGCTGGCCGGCATCTGTGCCCTCCCTGCCCCAGGGCCTCCCCCGAACCTCCAGACACCTGGGGCTGGCATCCTCCTTGGCAGCCAGCTCCACAGTCCCAGGTAGTGGGACCACTGGCCCAGATCTCAGGGCTCAGGGCTGGAGGTCAAAGGTCAGCTGGGGGAGGAGGGGAGGTTTTCCCCATGAAGTCCCCCATCCCAGGTCCCCCTGCTGGTTTGCCTGGCCCTCCAGGGTCCCACACTGGCCCGGCACAGGTACCTGGGAGTCATCACCTAGTGTCCAGATGCATCCAGCTTCCACAATCAGGGATGGTGACCCGCTGAAGCAAACGAAGCCCATCTAATCCACATGCAGCCATGAGGGCCTCGCCCCATCACTGCAAAAGTGGGTGTGGGAAGGAGCTGTCCCAGGTCCCCAGAAACTGTGCCTGGAAGTCAAGGGACTTTGGTGAGAATCCTTCTGAGCTCCAGTAGGTTTTTGCTTTGCACAGAGCTCCTCCTGTAACCGTGCCGGGTACACCATGCAGATCCTACAGCAACAATCACTTTAATTAGGAAAACAGGCAGCAGCTTCCCCCAGGAGCCGCAGGTGGTGTAACATTACCTTCACAACTTTCTGGGGCTACAAACTGACTCTAGAGAAAAACAGAAACAGATAATTAAAAATGCACCTGTAACGTCGGAGTTAGATGCAGAACGGGAAGATATGGCAGGTCCTTCTTGGGACCCAAGTTAACTTTCCCGACAGAACCTGCAGCAAGAGAACCTGCCCCAACCGCCGGCCAGGCCTGGCCGTGGGTGTGGCCTGGGGGGGGTGCCAGGGGCGCTTGAGATCTGCTGGCTATTCTTCTCCATGATCCATCGTGGACGCCCTCAGAACTTCCCAGGCTGGAGCAGCTAGCTCCGCCTGGGGCCTGGGGTGAGGCCGAGTCCCAGTCCCTGGAGGAGGCATCCGTGCTGTGGGTCTGAGGGCAGCCACCTTTCAGCTCTAGCTTGCGGAGCACAGCAAGGCTCCCAGCACCCCTCCTCCTGGGCGCGGACCACGTTGTTGTCATGGTAACAGCCTCTGGATGCTCAAGAGCCCTGCCTGTTCCCGGTGTCTTCAGAGACAAGACCCCTTTCCTCAGGAGCCAGGGGAGAAACTGAGTCACGGCGACAGGCCAAAAGAGGGCACTTAGGAAGGAGGACGTCTGAGGCCAAGTGGACGTTGGGGTCCAGGGGCCCGAGAGCCCAGGGCGGATGCCACGTGGCCCAGCTCATTTGTTGTGGACAGCACTCCCTGTGGTTGTGTGGCAAAGCCCTCCGTGTTCACGCAGAAGGCACATATGACTCCTGAACGCCCTGAGTCACACAGATGTCCAGGGTCTGCCTCACAGCAGTCTGTCCCTCAGGGGTGGGTGGCAGGCTGGGTGCTGGGCAGAGGGACGCGAGGACTCAACCTGGACCCTGACACACAATAAATTACTGGTCATGAAATAAAACCATCTTGGTGCTCGGCTGACGTGTCTGTACCTGAACTGATATTAACTAACTTTATTATCTAGGAAGTTAAGTTAGGAGTCCAGTGATCACCTCCACTGTACTGGGTTGAATGGTATCCCCCTAAATTCATGTCAATCCAGAACCTTGGGATGGGACAGTATCTGGAAATAGGATCTTTGCAGATGTAATTAGCTGAGACGGGGCCGCCCCAGAGCAGGGGGGCCCTAGGTCCAGGGACTGCTGTCCTCATACAGTCAAGGAAATTTGGATGGACACACAGGGAGACGTGTGAGGATGGAGACCAAGGTCGGAGCCATGCGGCCACAAGCCCAGGAAGCCAACCCCAGAGGTGGGAAGGGGCCGGCAGGGTCCTCCCCCAGAACCTCGGGACGAAGCACAGCCCTGGGCACTTTCATGTCCGACGTGTGGCCTTAGAACCCAGATGGTGGGTCTCTCGTTCACTCCAGTCCAGGGAGTGAGTCCCTGCCACCCTGCAGTCTAGCCAGCCCGGCAGGCCGTGAGGACCCAGGGCCCCAAGGCCTCCATTCGGCTCTCGGCCGGAGCCTCCTGAGACCTTGATGCCGGGCAGCTGTCCACCCGAAACTGGTCATTGAGGGCTCAGAACCTTCCGGGCCCAGCAGGCAGTTTCTCCACTGGGGAGGGGCTGTAGGCCTGGACACAGGGCAGGTGCCTGGAGGTCCCTCCAGAAGGACCAGGAGACCCCGCCTGGACACCTGGGGCCTTGCTCTCCCTGGAACCCCCGAGTGGGCTTTAATAGGATGAGGGGACCATGCTTCTCATTCAGGCAAAAGACATAATGTGTATGCAAATACTCGTGGGGAGGCGGGAACTCTTCAGCGAGAGTGAACCTGGGATCCGTCGGGGAGTCACGCATTCTGGGATCCATTTGTTTGGGTTCAAGGAGACATCCAGATTCTAAAAACCTTGTTAGCATCCCTGAGCCAAGGGGCCGGCCTAGTGGTGTAGTGGTTAAGTTCCCACACTTGGCTTCAGTGGCCTGGGGTTTGTGGTTCGGATCCTGGGCGTGGACCTGCACACCACTCTTCAAGCCATGCTGTGGAGGCGTCCCACGTATAAAATAGAAGAAGATGGGCACAGATGTTAGCTCAGGGACAATCTTCCTCACTGAAAAGAAAAAATTTTTTTAAGTTGCTGAGAAATCAGCCTGGATAGCTGAGGCAGCCACAAGCATCATTTCTTAGCTTCCAGCACCACCTTCTGGAAGCTTCTGAAATTACACCCACTCCCGGTGGCGATCATGGGACTGAGTCGTCATGTGTTGATCCCGTGTCAGGGATGCACAGAGCCACCAGCGCGTGCAGGAACGCAGGGTGCCCCCGCAGCAGGGTGCTCTGGCCCAAAGGACTCAAGAGATTTCTGTGTCACCCCCTCTCCCGTCTCCTGAGGACACAAACCCAAGCCATGTGCCCAGTCCTGCCCTGGGCCCTTCCCAGCCCAGCCTTAAAACTCAGGGTGCCACGGGATCACCTACACACTCCCTGACCAGAACTCTCATGGCTGGGATGGAGGGTGCACTCAAGGAACTTCTGGACCCGAGACCCCGGGAGACCTTAAGACCAAGTGCCCGGGGTCCTGGGACAGAGAAGGATTTAGTGAGGAATCAGGGAACCTGATAGAGTCCTCCTTGTGGGATGGTGCACTCAGTCCTGCCAGGGCTGTAGGATGAGGGACCAGCATCCCCTCGGCCCACAAGGTCCAAATGTACCAGGATGCGGGAGCCCCCGAACCCCCTAAGGGCCAACTGTGTGGGGACAGGGGAGCCCCACAGTGACCAACTGTGTGGGGACACAGCAGCCCCCCAAGGACCAACTGTGTGGAGACATGGCAGTGCCCCAGGGTCCAACTTGCGGGGACAGGGGAGCCCCCCAAGGGCCAACTGTGCGGGGACACAGCAGCCCCCCAAGGACCAACTGTGTGGGGACATGGCAGTGCCCCAGGGTCCAACTTGCGGGGACAGGGGAGCCCCCCAAGGACCAACTGTGTGGGGACATGGGAGCCCCCAAAGTTCCTACGGTGTGGGGACATGGCAGCCCCCCAGGGTCCAACTGGGTGGGGACAGGGGAGCCCCACAATGACCAACTGTGGGGGGACATGGCAACCCCCCAGGGTCCTACTGTGTGGGCACATGGGAGCCCCCCAAGGACCAACTGTGCAGGGACAGGGCAGCCCCCCAGGGTCCTACTGTGGGGGGACAAGGCAGCCCCCCAAGGACCAACTGTGCAGGGGACACAGGAGCCCCCCAGGGTCCTGCTGTGTGGATCGTTTGCCACATGAGGAATCGAGGGGCTCTGCCGGCTCTCCGCTCCGGGCTACAGGTCTTGACAGTGGGGTCCCGACCGGGGACCAGGTGGGGTCAGTGAAGGACCTTTCCCCCCGAGGCCGTGGTCCTGGGAAGAGGACACTCCAGGCTGTCCTGCTGTCCTCAGTCTCCCCAGGTGGCCCCTATGCCAGGAAGGTGGGCTCATGGCCACCATGGAGACAAGGTGGCTCAGGGGAAGCAAAGTCTGACCCTGCGCCCGAGTGTACCAGGGCAACCCCTGGCCCATGGCCCAGACCGTCCAGGCCTCACTCACACAGTTAGGGGGTAGAGCCATGGGCCAGGTGCTTCGTGCTTCTCAGATTTGGGTTAAAATTCCCAGAAGGAGCAAAGAGCCCCTGAGTCACTCTCCCGGGCTCTGAGGAAAATCTCTTTAAACTTTCTGGTGCCTCAGCTTCTCCACCTTCCCTCACTGTCTATCAAGTGTTTCCTGAGGCATCAGGTGACCAGCTGTCCTGGGATGGGAACAAGGCCAGTCCGCCCCCAAGGACTCAAGGGCACAGGGGATGTGTCTGAGCACGGGGTTCCAGAAGAGCTGAGGGATGCTTGTGCATGGGGGCTGCTGTCCTGGGTGTGGCCTGAGCGCCACGGTTGTTGGGTCGGTCATTCTGGGTCAGTCATTGCAGGTCGTGAGGCCTCTTAGAGAACTGCAGGTGGGGCGCATGTGACATGACTGCCACGGCATAGTCTGGCCAGGACCGAGCTGCACTGAACTCGGGGTTTCTTCCGTCCTGTGTAGACCAGACCGAGGCCGCGTCACCAGGTCAGCCACCCCTACTGACCTGCTTTTCCTCCGTTTCCACTGAAGAAATCCTGGGACATAACCTGACCATCCTGGGCCAGAGCCCGGAGGGCACATGGGCAGGGCCCTCATCAGCCCCAGGCCACGGAGAGCAGCCCGCCCGCTCACTGCTGTGGGCTGCGGCCTTGTCCCGGGTGGACATGCTCTGGAGTGGAGGGAAGTGACCCCGTCCCTGGGTCGGGTCCACAAGCTCTGGAGCACAAGGCAGGGCTTCAGTGGGTTTTCATGCACTGGGAGGCTGAGGGAGGGAGAGGAGTCGGGTGCTGGGCTGAGGGAGGAAGGGGAGTCGGGGCACTGGCTTCTGTTGGGGTTCAGCCCTTTGAACCAAGTTTTCAGTGTTCAGGTGGGATTGGTGACACTGAGTGAGGCGGACAGAGCTGTGGGCTGGGGGCCCCGCTGATGGGGGCAGCAGACCCTGACCCATGTTCCTTGATGGCACAGCCACTGAGGCCTTTCCCTGGGCTTCTCGGTGACACCTGGAGAGGAGGGGAGAGCAGGTGGCCCCCAGGTCCTCTGGACGGAGCTCTTGGGACATGCCTGCACCCGCATGGCTCATGTGACAGGCTCAAAGTGCAGGGAGGCCCTGCTGCCTTCCCACAAGGCAGGGTTCCACTTCTTGGTGGGGTCCTGGGCCCACTGTCCTTGAGCCTTCCTGCTTCAGGGGCCAGGTGAGGACGAAGAGGGTCCAGGGCAGGCAGTCCAGGACTGTCCCACCTCAAAGAGGCAGAGCCTCTGCCTGGGCCCTGAGCAGGACAGAAAGGAACAGGTGACCACTTTTGCCATCTGCTCTGGCTTCATGGGGGGTGAGTTTACAGGCTTTGTGAACACAATGTAGCCCTATCTGATTCAGAAATACTGGAGAAAAGGCACAATGATAGTCACTAGTCTAGAATAGGACAAGGCTATGGAGGGCAGCAGAAAGTCATTCATCCACCCACCCATGCACTTATCCATTCATCTACCTATCCATCCACTCACCCATCCACCCATTCCATCCATCCATCTATTACATCTACTCATCCACCCACCATCTACTCCTCCATCCATCTCCCCATCACCCCATCTCTCCATCCGTCCACTCATCCATCCATTCACCCGCCCATCCGTCTACCCGTCCATCCATTATATTTATTCATCCACCCACCCACTCACCTGTCCACTCATCCATAAATCCATCACCCACCCACCTTCCCTTCCATCTGTCCATCTACCCACCCATGCACCCATCCATCCGCTCTATTTTCACACATCAACGACTGGCAGCGATGTCAAGGCGCTTGGCGACGCAGTGGTCAAAGCTTCAGCCCTTCCTCACATCCATTAGCCCCTCTCGAGGTCACTTCTCTCGTTAGTTTAAATTAGTCTAATTCCCTTAACCCACGCCCCTTGTCTCCCTCTCCCTCCATCAGAGTTGCTCCAAAAACCCAACTGTGGTCAAACCCAATGATCTGAATCCGGCTGGAGAACACCCAAACAAGTTCGGGTGACTGGTTTTACTTCAAAGTCATGATAAAAATCCTCAATAAAGTGCACTTAGCTCTGCCGGGCAAGCCGCCTCTCTTTTCCAGGAGGCTTGCATCCTCTGCCACTGTGTCACTGCCCTCTGCCAAGAATCTGTGTCATGATTCAGCCCACTTGGGGCCGTCCTCACCTCCCCACCACACCAGCCTTCTCACCCCTGTGCTTTCCCCAGACACCCTCCTCTGCTCCCGGTGCCTGGCAGGAGCGCCCGGCCGTCTCATTCCAACTCTGCTCGTCTGGGGTGCCCTCCTCCTAACGCCCAGTCTGCTCATAGTGAGTGTCCACCACTGGCCTATAAACACGTGCCAGACCCTCCACGACCCTCCCATCTCCCTCGACCTCGAGGTGTGTTCCTCCTGCTGGTGACATGTCCTGAGCAGTGTCTGCGTGTGCTGTTTCTTCCTGTGTGTGAGACTCCAGTGATTTCTCAGGGTGCTGGGGTTAGCACAGCCTGTGAGCCCATCTCACTCACCCGCCACCCCTCCATCTCGCCTGCCACCCCACTGTCATCCCAGCTCCGCCCCTCAACTCCCTGAGTCCCCCACCTCGGGGCCTGTGCAGAAACTGCTCTCTATTGCTCCTTATTTCTGGGCTTCAATCTCACCCCTGGAGAGGAGCCCCCGTCACTTGTTCTCGACTCCTTCTAAGCCCTGTCCCCCAGCCCACGTGGTCTCCCCCGGGAGACCACCCACGGGCAGGCGTTTGTCATGCTCACACCTGTGAGCTCAGCACCTGCACAGCCAGGCACTCAGGGGACACTGACCCACGATGTAGAGTGGGGCCGGTCTCCTGTCTCATGGAGCTTACAGCAGGCTGGGAAAGACCCAGTTACACTGGTAAACAATAAAAATGCACTTCCCAGGCCCCAAAGATGGTGAAATAAGTCCTACAAGGTTGGACAGCTTTCACTGACAGATCAACCCTTTCAGTAGAACTTCTGGAGCTGACACGGCATCCAGAACTTGACAAGCAGGAACAGACTGAGGCCATTCCACCCACAGGGACACCTCACTGCCTGCAGGTGGACAGCCGCTCCCTCCAGCAGAGGCCACTGCCTTCTCAGGGCCAGCTCAGAAGCTTGTGCCAGGCTGGATCCAACTGTCCTTCGTGGGTGGCTCTCCTCCTTGATCCAGCAGAGAAGCAGGGCTGTCGGTGCCCCTCCAAGGCACTTCGTGCGTGAGTCACTGCCTGCAGCTCCTGACGTCCCCATCCTATCTCAGGGAGTCCTGCCGACAGCTGGGGGAGACCATCCTCACCTCACAGGCTCAGTGCACCTCAGCTCTATGCCCCTAATTTGGACTTAAGACATCTCCATTTCCTGATTGTAACGTTCACCAGGTCTGCTGGTCAGTGTCCAGCTGACCATCTGAGGCTCACAGAAGCTCCTGTATTTGCAAAGTCGCCCTGCATGCTGTCCCACACGCTTGTGGGTTTGTTTCCGAGGTTTCCTGGTTTATCCCGACTGCACTGTCGGCCTCGTGGGCTGGCAGCGCCTTAGTCACTGTCCTCCCCGCCTGGCACTTGGCAGCCCCAGGCCTCAGCTGCGTGGCCCTATCTCACAGACCATTGGCTGCAGACTGTGATTCGCGTGAACCCACTTACTCCAGGTCATGCGTGCTAGAGCTCCCAGGGCAGGGCTGCAGACGCCGGGAGGCCCAGATCTATCCACACCCCGGAGTGATCTGGGATGACATTAATCCAGAACCCAAAGGAGAAAACCTGCGGCACCCACGAAGAGCTCAAACAGCGGCACCATGTGGGCAGCGAGGGAAATGACGCCCGCGCCCAGGGACACTGGCCTGAGCTCAGGGCACAGTGCTGATGGCGGTGCTGGGCAGAGGGTCAGCTTAGAGACTTTTGCGGTGGCTGGAGACCTTCCTCCTGGGAACACGCCACTGCAGGAGCCTGGCTGGCAAGTAGAGCAGGAGGAAATGGCCCGGGATGGGCAGTGGGGCAGACCCATTAAGCTGACCAGCTCCCCAGCTCCAGCATGGCTGTCCCCAGGGGCTGGGGGGCCAGTGACATTTCATAGGAAATTAGGCTGAAGAACTGAACGGACCCAAGAGACTTGGTGCAAGATGACTTTAGGAAATAAGAAGAAACTCCTCTCTAAGTCAAGAAGCCTGAACAATTCGCTGAGAAATCCTCCAAGACACTCCCAGTGAGGAGTGGGTAATGCTGTCAGTTAAAATACAACCCACAGATTTAGAGTAACACCCCAGGGGCTATACATGGTACAGGAAACCAACGCCTTGCCTCACAAAAAAGTCGTATTTAAGAAAAGCAACTCAGCTGGCTCACAGAAATCATGACAGCCTGGAAGACAAAGGGCTTTTTCTATCATAATACGACTGAGCCGTGTGTGTGTGTTTAGAACCTGAGTAAAGTAGGAAAACCAAGGACACCCTGAGGCAAGCACTTCAGGTGGGACGAGCTGACAGGACAGCTGACATTTCTGCACAGACACGGTTTTGGAGTTCAAGTGAGATTTTACAGACATAAAAGGATGAGACTCGAGAAACAGGTGTACCCAACAGCAATGCCTTTGAATGTACGCTCTTAGCTGCCATGGAACTATGTGAGAAACATAACCTTCTGTGCAACTGGGCCTCAGTGTGTGTGAGGAGAACAGCTCTTCATGTCAGAACTCAGGAACTTGTGGGTTCCCACTGGAAAGGGAAGTGTGAATACAAAAGGCAGTGCTGGGGCCAGCCCCATGGCCCAGTGGTTAAGTTCATGCATTCTGCTTTGGTGGCCTGGGGTTTCACTGGTTCAGATCCTGGGCGTGGACATGGCACTGCTCAACAGGCCATGCTGAGGTTGCGTCCCACACAGCATAACCAGAGCACCTACAACTAGAATATACAACTATATACTGGGGGGCTTTGAGGAAAAGAAGAAGAAGAAAAAAAGATTGAGGGGCCGGCCCCGTGGCGCAGCAGTTAAGTTTGCATGTTCTGCTTCTCGGTGTTCCAGGGTTCACTGGTTCGGATCCCGGGTGCAGACATGGCACCGCTTGGCAAAAGCCATGCTGTGGTAGGTGTCCCACATATAAAGTAGAGGAAGATAGGCATGGATGTTAGCTCAGGGCCAGTCTTCCTCAGCAAAAAGAGGAGGATTGGCAGCAGATAGCTCAGGGCTAATCTTCCTCAAAAAAAAAAAAAAAAAAGATTGGCAGCAAATGATGGCTCAGGTGCCAGTCATTAAAAAGAAAAAAAAGGGAGTGCAATCAGCAGAGAGGTGCTGACGATGACGTGAATACAAGGAGGAGCGCACACCCTGGAGAGGTGCCAAAGACGGTAGGAATACAGGGAGGAGCATGCATGCACTGCGCAGAGGTGCCGAGGACAGTGTGAATACAGGCAGGAGCGCACACCGAGGAGAGGTGCCGAGGACAGTGTCAATATAAGAAGGAGTGCACACCGCGGAGAGGTGCCGAGGACAGTGTGAATACAAGGAGGAGCGCACACCACAGAGAGGTGCCGAGGGCAGTGTGAATACAAGGAGGAGGGCGCACCGCGGAGAGGTGCCGAGGACAGTGTGAATACAAGGAGGAGCGCACACCGCGGAGAGGTGCTGAGGGCAGTGTGAATACGAGGAGGAGCGCACACCGCGGAGAGGTGCTGAGGGCAGTGTGAATACGAGGAGGAGCGCACACCGCGGAGAGGTGCCGAGGGTGGTGTGACTACAGGGAGAACCGCACACCGCAGAGAGGTGCCGAGGATGCTGTGAACACAGGGAGGAATGCACACTGCAGAGAGGTGCCTAGGGCAGTGTGAATACAGGGAGGAGCACACACTGCGGAGAGGTGCCGAGAATGCTGTGAATAGAGGGAGGAGCGCGCACCGCGAAGAGGTGCCAAGGAGGGTGTGAATCCACATGGAAGTGCCCCACAGAGGCACTGACAGGCACACTTGGTCTCTGGTGAGGAGCAGCTCACACAGACAGCAGCATTGAGAGCATGTGGAGTTTATTTGAGTTAAGTAGGAATGTCTTTCTATATTATAACATCAAAGAAATAATTTGAACATTAGAATTTGCAGAATATTAAACTTTCATTTCTAGTCTCAGAACAGTAGAGTAAGATGAATGCTTTACAGTAATAGTGAAATAATCAGGGCTTATTTTCAATAGAAACACAAGCTGGTTCGATCTGGAATTGTTTTGAAAAATAATAGAAAGGCAAGGATGCGGCCCCTGCTTGAGGAGGAGTGCCTGTCTCAGGGCCCGTCCCCAGAGGGCCTCTCTCCTGGGCCGTTCCTCTCACTGTCTCTGTCCACAGCCATCGCAAACCCTGCATCCCCTGCAGCGACTGGACGGTGCCGGAGCCAGGCTGGCAGATGCGCGGCCCTAGGAGGTGAGCTTGGAGTAGCTGGGAGGGGACAGCTTCCGCTTCAAGTACTTGAGGACGTAGAGTGGAAGACAGCTGACCACAGTGATTGCTGACACCTTCCACAGGAAGGTCACGGTGGTGATAAAGGCAACATCTGTGGGAAAGAAATTCAGGAACAAGCGTAAGAGGCAGCCAAGGAGGCCACCAGCCCCCACGGCACACGAGCCGCAGACCTCCCGCCTCCTGCCTGCTCTCTCCTGCGCCTCCCGAATCACTACCAGACGTCACAGAGGCGGCCCCCGCAGAGCCTTGGGTTTCTTCATCACAGTAGTTTTTACCCATATACCAGGGACAATGAATCCTTTCCATAGAACAAATGGAGCCAAGGTCTCAGAGAGTGTGTGTGACTAAACCACTCTTCTGTGTGCAGGCGCACGCGCATTGTGGCGCCTGGTCTGGAGGCAGCACCACGCAGCGCAGCCTCTGTGACCTGTCTAGACCATCTAGGCCAACTGTTTCCTTCTAAGGCAGCGACTTTGCTGAGGTGTGAGACGTCGCTGCCGCCTGCCTCGTGTGCTCCTCAGCCTCACCACGTCCTCTCCAGTCGCCCTGCCCTGCCCCACAGGCCGACCTCTGCACTCACTGTAACAAGCTGCAGTCAGATGACAGCCACGTGACATTCTCATGGGGAGAGGCATACAAAAAACCAGACATTTACAGAGTTTGAGTCTACAAATGGCAGAAACCTCTTTAGGTCATCAGAAGGTGGGATAAAAAGACGTCTTAGTGGGAGTCACAGACTTTCAGACCAAACAATGGCACAGGAAAACCTGCTGGTCCGTGTGCAGTGTTTGGGACCCAGAGGGATGGGGTCACGGTCTGTATTTAACCATACTCTGAAAAAATCCTGGAAGTGTTTTCCAGGGGCTCAACCACTAAAAATTAAAGGGCAAAAATGCTGCGGGGAGGGATAAACGTCACCTTCCGGACATGAATCCTCACAAGCAGACCTAGGGTGCCTGGGGTCCCGGCCCTGTCCGCTGAGCCACAGAACCCTAAGGGGGACCCGGCGGCCCCACGCCTGTCACCACGCGGGAAGAGCCCTCGGCAAATGCTTACTGTTAGCGAGTTAGAGGCAAACAGTGAGTTAGAGGGAGCTGTCCAGATCAGTTACATATCTTGACGAACACTGTTCTGCTAAACTATACTCTTGAAAGAAATGGTAACTTCACCTACCTAAGAAAGCTCCAAAAGACACTCTGCCTATGCCTGTTCAAGACAAAACAGGACAAAGACAAGAAAGGACAGATTAAGGGATATCAGGATATTTCAAGTGGTTGGCTAACAAATAAAGAAATACATTAAGAAGCAATAAAAACGACAGTGGGAAAAGCATTTGTCACTCTGGTTTTCACACCTTGTTCCACTGTGTGTCACCACATGACTTTTTAAGCACAACTGAAATACAGTAGTTATCTTACTGCAGCTTGAAGTCATACACCCAAACATTCCCCTACGGGACCCAGATCCACAAAGTCCCACAGGGATTTAGGCTCAAAACGCAAAACACCCTATATCCCAGCTGTGCTTTCGCTGCCGTGAAAGGGGCTGTGTACACACTGTTCCCTCACATTAAATTTAACGCCTGAGCACGTGGTTGCTCATCCTCAAAGTGTCCCTGTGAGGGGAGAGGCCTGTCCCCAGCTCACAGGGGAGTGAGCTGAGGGTCAGGGCGGGGCGTCACCTGCCCAGTGCACGTGACGTGGCGTGTCTGTCACCTCAAAATTCAGTTTACGCCTGCTCATTCTAGCAAGGGACCAGATGCAGTATTTGTATTTTGTTTTGTTGTGTGTTCTGTATGTATTACTGAAGGAAGGAAAGGTATGTTAAAATGAAATGCCATGAGGATAAACCCATTTCTCTCACACTCATATAGGAAAATATATGAAATGCTTCTTTTTCTTTTTTGAGGAAGATTAGCCCTGAGCTAACTACTACCAATCCTCCTCTTTTTGCTGAGGAAGACTGGCCCTGAGCTAACATCCATGCACATCTTCCTCTACTCCATACATGGGATGCCTACCACAGCATGGCTTTTGCCAAGCAGTGCCATGTCTGCACCTGGCATCTGAACTGGCGATCCCTGGGCCGCCGAGAAGTGAAATGTGCAAACTTAATCGCTGCGCCACTGGGCCAGCCCCCAAATGCTTACTCTTAAAACAAAGGTAACTGAAATATTACAACTTGAAATTAGCCATTTCTTATAGCTATAAGCTATTCTTTTGGCGGATGTTTCTTTTAATACAAAAATATTAGCTTTTTATATGTTCCTCTCCATCTCTTCACCACTAAGCGCACACCTGGAAGTGAGCTCACCCAGCTGCTGCTTTCAGAGGGGAATCCCTTTCACTTCTCTGCCATTTATATGTAGTTATGCAAAAGAACAAAGTTCACAAATTCCCGCTGTTGAAACTCGCCTAAACATTCATCCATCTTGTGATGTGTAGCTCTGGTGCAAAGGATAGAGAGGTTTTCATAATACAGTAGCTGCAGGTTACGATCAATTTTCACCAAAAATAACCTGACGGTACACTGCTTCACTCCACGGAGTGGAAACAGAGGATCCTTTCCCCTTCCAGGGAAGTCAGTGTATCCCACAGACAGCGGTCGTGCGTCTGGACAGCGGCAGACTTTCGATTTTCAAGTGTCAACACTCTTTGCCTTAAGATGCACTTTCTGACAGTGCCGAAGTGTACCGACACAGACATAACACCAGTGCGGTGCTGTGACTTGATCACCGACCAGGGACAGCCCGACAGCACTGGAAGGAGGGCGAGTCTGACTGCACTGTTAACGCCAATCTTCCAGATTCTCGGGGCCACACGGGCCTTCCCCAACTCTCATCTCTGGCCGCACGCAGAACTCTGCTCTCATCTCTTCCCTGCTTTGTCAGTCACACACACAGCCCCTGGGTCAAGGGCCTGCTCTCTGAAGAACCCGCCCCTCTGTCACTCCGTGAGGACACCGGCCCTCCGTCGTGCCTACCCTGGGTACAGAGCCTGGCTCCACTCCTTCACATCAGCACTCACGGCAATTTCTGACCACACGAGGCTCCTTCTCTACAAGGGTCTGAGAGGCCCTCCCCATCCCACCCTTGCCACAGGGCCCTACAACAGGATCCTGCATCTGTTCCTAAAAAGCCCCCTGGGGAGGTGACCGGCATCTGTGCAGGCAGGGTCTTGGCGAGTCACCCTAATGTCCCTGGGAAGACAAGAGCCGATGCTTCCATGGCACGTCACAACTGGGGGCCAGCGGTCCTGCCACAACCCCACGTGAAGGCACTGTTTTTGTCACAGCTTCACGGAGGTCCAGGCACCTGGCTGAGGCCACACAGGTCAGTCTGGAACCAGGCCCACTGCCGCCCAGCAGGGGCGAGACGCTTTCTTGGTGGTGGCTGACCTCAGCCATATCAGGAGCAGAACTCTGGCCGAAGGGAGCGACCTAAGGCATCTGCCTCCTACCCTAGAAGGGCCCCCGTGAGCGAGCGAGTGCCCAGCAGCGCCATTCCTTCTGTTCGTGAAACATCACTGTCCTATAGGACGTTAATAGGCCTCACAGAGGGGTTGCAGGACAAAGCAGTTCAGGAAAGGCTGGTGCGGTGAACATGGAACATGCAGAACTTGCAGGTCTCCGGCCCCGCCTTCCTGCAGAGGGAGCCCCAGGTGTGCATGTGGTGCAGACATTCCTGTCCCAGAGGGCAGGGTTGAGGACGCTGTGCAGACAGAGTTCACCTTCTAATCAGCCTGCCTCCGTGGACAATGCTTCTGACGCTGGCTCTCCCCACATCCTGCATGCCTGCACGGCGCCCCCGCATCCGGAGCCCCCCTGCCTCCTCAGGCTCAGCCTGTGGCTGTCCCAGGTGCTCCCCTCCTCAGGTGAACACCTCTTTCCTCTGAATCCGAGGCTCTGTCTTGTCGTCTCCACGGTGCCACGCTCACTCCTGACTCGTGGCACCAAACTGGTTTTACCTCTCCCTTGACGCTTCCAAGACTTTCTCTTTCTCTTGAAATTTCAAGAAAGCCAAGTCTTGGCGTGGACCCTGGCTCACGTGTGGGCGGGACTGCCCTGTGGGGCCTTCCCATTTACAGACGGTAGGCTGCAGGTCTGGACTTTCTCTGTGCCACTGCCTAAGTGACTGCCTCCGCTCGCTCTTTGTGGAACCCCCACTCGTCATAGGGTTGGCCTCCTAGATGACCCTGTGGTTTCCTCAGTGTCCATCCTCTTGCTCTACTTTCAGGAGGGCTCCGTGACTCATTTTCCAATCCTTCCGTTTATCTCTGCTATCAGGCTTCTAGGCTCCAAGGACTCTTTCTTGTTCTCAGAGCTCTGTTCTTGGTTAATGGATGCAGCTCTTCCCTCTGAAGTTCTGTGTGTTTCCTCCAGGTTCCCTCGTCCGTGTTGTCAGAGGTCCCCCTGCCCCAGGTGACCTGGCTCTCCGCACACGCACCAGCGAGGAACCACATGGCAGATGGCAGCCTCCTGTGACAGCTGGGGCTTGTCAGGGTGGGCCATTCCAGAGCGGTCCAGTGACGAGCCTGTTTCAGTCTAGACGTCAGAATCGACAGGCCTCCCCTCCAGGACAACTCCATTCCTCTAGGAGGATCCTGCCTGCCAAGCAGGCTTGGCTGGCTCCCCCTGCCTCTCACGGCCAGCACCGTGCCAGATGAATCATGGCACCTGCTGCACGCAACGCGACCTTACAGGAGGGGCTTGCTTGCAGTAGTGTCTGCTGAGGCCTGATGGAGATTTGGGCTCACTTACTAACGGCAGGCAGGTTGCAGGTGTCAGTCCCAGGGTCCCTGGGGTGAGCTTCAGTTCAAATTCCAGGTCTGCTGTTCATGTTGGACACACAGATGTTAGCAAATGAGAAACATGGAAGTCAGCATCTTCATCCGTAACCTGGGTGGCAGGAACATGTCCGACTGGCCTCGCATAGCCATCAAGAGCACAAGAGGGTGATGGTCAGCTGCTGTTACAGATGGGGAGGACACCATCGGGGACATGAGGCAGTTCTCCCTTTTTTGGAAAAACTTGTGGAAAATTTCATCTCAGACCAGGAAAAGCGCTGCCTTCACCTTCTCAGGCGGCCCCTCAGTGGGGTTTCCAGTGTGCCACGTGGATGCAGGAGCCACGTCCACACTGCTGGGCTCAGCCAGGCTTTGGGAACTCTGAGGACAAACACTGCCTGTGGCTTCATCCAGCCATATTCTTCCTCTTCTCTCTGCCCTGATTTTAAAAACCTTACAACAGAAATCGTATGCAGTCCTATTAGCCAGGTCAATCGATTTGGGATGACACAGGGAAGTAACTAACCAAACTTTGGGTGTTCTCAAACTCTGGCTGGAAAGGGCTGACATCTGGGGAGAAGAGTGAGAAGCTGGGTTTGATAAAGCAGGTCAGGTGAGGTGGGTCAGAGCGGCCAGCCGCTCACGGGGAAGCAGGAAGCCTTGGAAAGGGACAGAGGGCTGTATGTGCCCAGCACAGGCACTCCACAAAGTGAGCTCACAGCGGCTTCTTCTCAACAGCTGATTCCTCCCAAGCAGAGCACCTGTGATGGAGTCAGGGCAACTCCTCAGTCAGTTCCTGGGGACCCTGAATTCAGGGAAGGAGGAGTGAGCAAGTCACATAGGCTGTGGAGGTTTGGGCAATTCCGACCTGTTCTCTCTGCAGTCCGTGGAATGTGGTGATGAGGACTGTGATGACAACCACCGCCACTTCCTGCGTGCTCACATTCCTCCTCAGGTCTCATCCAGCATCACCTGCAGAAAACAGGCTCAGGGCGGTCGAACCACTTTGTCACGGTCACCTGGCTAGTAACAGGTGGGCTGGTGTGGGAGAGAAGCAGGGAGGACGAGTCATAGTGCCGAGGGCCATGTCTCTGATGCCTCTGAAGATGCTGCTGATGCAGCTGGGCTGCTAATGGGGGCTGAAGCCGTCACCCCCATGCCCTGAGGCCTCTGTTGAGAGGGGACGGCAGGAGAGTGCTGCCTCTGTGGGCACCTGGGCTCCACCCGGGAAGCCCTCTTCCTTGGAGTGCCCACTGCTTTAATTACAAAAAAGGACAAACAATACGGCTCTTGTGGAAGGAACTCTTGAAAACCAGCACAACTTCAATATCTTTCTAAAGCCAACGTGGTGAAAATTTTAATTTTATAAATTATTGCAAGGAGTTTAATCTTTCCATCAAAATAAGCTTTTTTATCAAAATGAAGCTTTCTGATGTGGGTTTTATTGTGGCTGCCAACTTAAGACAATGCAATAAAAAGTAACAATAAAAAAATGCTTAAAAACCAATAATAGATAATTATTCAAAAAAGAATTCCAAGGGCTGGCCCTGTGGCCAAGTGGTTCAAGTTCACATGCTCCGCTTTGGTAGCCTGGGTTCATGGCTTTGGATCCTGGGCACAGACCTACTCCACTTACCAGCCACGCTGTGGTGGCATCCCACATACAAAATAAAGGAAGACTGGCACAGATGTTGGCTCAGGGCGAATCTTCCTCAGGAAAAAGAAAAAGAATTCCAAGGCAACTCACCGAAGTATTCATTCAGAAAGGCAAGCGAGGCGATGTAGCAGCCCAGGCTGAGGAACTCGGCCACGACCATTAGCCAGTGCCACGTCCTGACGGTCAGGGCCACCATCAGCAGCTCGGTGAGGATGAGGGCCGTGAAGGAGATGGCCACGACATGGACGAATTCAGACTCGAAAAGCAGCAGGGCCCCATACATGAGGATGCCGCCTGGAAGACAGCAAGGGGAGTGGAGAGGGCTTCCCACCGACAGCATCCGCTGCTTGGACAGGAGTTCTAGTCCGAGGGAAGTCAGCTGGGAAACCCATCACAGAAATAGCTACTGATACTAAAACACCTAAGGGTAAGGGATTACATCCGTATCCACGCTTCTGTAGATTAACGATTTAAACTCTGGGTTATGACTAAGAGAAGATGTGGTCCTAGCTTGGTGGCTGAAGAGGATCAAGCAGAGGCCTAAGAGCCTTCTACTCTCTGCAGGAAGGGGCACTCCTGTACTCCATCAGCATGGACACTGCACACGCTAACGCAGGACATCTGGTCTACCTGTGCAGACACTTTCACAAGCCCGTCCACCTGCAGCACTAAACATGGGGTGTCAAGGACTTCTGATTATGTAATTCAGATTCTCAGAGCCTTGCTCCCACTCCGTGAAAGAAACCATTGTAGGGTACACAATGGGACAAGTGTGTGTTAACAATTTTCTGAATTCACATTTAATTTAAAACAGGTCAATTTTAGGTGACATGTGTGAGTAAAAACAGCAGTCCACGCCCAGTGTGACGAGGCCTGAAGACCAGCTGCTGGAGTATCGATTTACAGGGTTAACAGAAAGCAGTATTTAAATGCTGACAAAATTTTAAGCTTTTGGAACTTAACTGGGGACGTGAAAACAGCACTGCTAACAGAAGACAAATCCTCAGTCCAGGAGAAAGGGGCCCGTCTTACCTTGGTAAATACTGATTAAAACCCAGACGAGGAACGTCTTAAAGGACAAGGATCTTCCCTAGGGCAAAGAAGGGAACAGCTCAGTTAATAGAGGGCAACAGCATGGCGATGTGTGTCCCAGAAACTGCGTGTGGGACTTCTCAGACCCAGGCCCCCGAGCCCAGCCCAGGTACCAACCAAGCGCCCATCTTCCTGCCTGTGCGTCCGAGCTGTGCACTGCGCACACCACACCTAGAGAGGTGCTGTTTTCTTTTGCTTGACCTTTAAGCCGTAGCTATACGTCCCTTGGCTTCCTAGTGACCCAGGCGTTGATGTGTACAAACAGTGAAATGCACTAGGGGAGAAGGACTTTCCTTGTAGTAAAAATAATTTCCCTTTACTTCTTTATTGCTTGGGAACAAACATTGCTATATATTTACTTTTTAGTTTCTTCATATGAAAAGGGTGGTCTATTACAAGGGAAGTCAGAACTCATTATCCCTTAGGTCCTTTCTGGAAAAGATGTCACACAAATAAGTCCAACACAGACAAACAGGATGGTTTCTTGTGCAATAACCTTCACTTTTAAAGCTCAGCATAGGTTATTAGGGATGGGCCAGGACAGAAGAATGCCAGCCTGTGCTCTTGTCTAACCACTCCTAAAGACATTTATATCCAAGACAGAAGACTGTACTACCGTGTTGGTGTTGAGGGTCGCTAAAGGCCTGGGCATCAGGACAAAGCCCAACAGACCATCAGAACCATAGCATCATGTGACCACTGTGCTGATCCCGTGCCTCTGAGGCTATTTTCTGGAGCCACAGAGTGACTCGGTTGGATAGAGCTGACAACATTTCCATTTACAGATGAGGAAGCATGAGAGGCCTGGCAACTTCCTTAAGTTCTCGCTGCAGGTGGGTAGTGCTAAGCAGCGTGCCTGAGCAGAGTCCAGAGCTCCAACTGCGACTGGGGTGCCCCAGCGCGGAAGGGACTAGCACAGCGACTTCAGAGGGGGATGTTTCAGAGTGACAGAGCGATAAATGCCACACACAAACGAACCTGGACAGGAGATGGAGGACACCAGGGACACAGCGAGACACACGGCCATGACACTGGAGGGATCTAGGTCTGACTCCCATCTCCGTCAAGTCGGCCGACAACTTTTCAGAAGAGACACAGGCCGAGTACGGCACCTTCAGTGTCCTCCTTGCTTACAAGGATCGATCTGAAAATGTTGGCCAAGCCTGACTCCTTAGGGTACATAAGTGTGAAGAGTCAGATTCAAGCCATCAATTTATTAAAAGGCAGAAAACTTTAATTTAAACGTTTATATATTTTAATAGGTTCTCTTAGCATATATTTCCCAAGTGTGTTTCTCTGACTGGATACTAGCGGGTGTTGGGCCTTTGGTGATAAAATTCATGTGTCATTAAGTACATGGCTAATTTTATTTGAATATTTTAAAAGAAAATTTAACTTTAATTTTTTATACAGAAATAAGAGATTGTAGCCAGATTTGCTGACATCTATTCAAAATTTATGTGACATAATTATCAATTTACGTACTGAAAGATGAAAAGGGAGCATTTGTGCTATTGCTCGCGTTAGGAAATGCAAGCTCATCAGACGGTTTTTAAAGACAGCTCACCAAAGGTGCAGTCAGTGCTCCTGTGTCCAAGCAGACTGTAGATTCATGAATCAAACACAATAGGGTGAGCATAAAAACCATCACTAAAATAAATAATTGGAGAAAAAATGCGAAAAATACACACGAACCACTTGTTCCTGGATGTGATGCTTATTAATGGGTCCCAGACTTCAGCTTTGAGAGACAAAAGTAAAAATCTCATTGCACTTAGTGGCACAGATATACTATGTGTGGAGGCAATTCATTCACTGCCCATCTGTGCTGCATGTCCAGGTGCTCTCCTGGGCCCGAGCACCTTGTCACTGGTTGAGGAAGACGAAGGATGGCCTCACGGAGATGATTCCACCAACCCCTCACTCACACGCAAGGAACTCTGTCCAGGTGCCGAGCAGATGCGGCTGAGCATCTGGACGGCCAGGGACACCCCTCCCCAGCTATGTCTGGCACGCACTTAACTCGTGTGCCTCTGTGAACAGAAATGGTAACGGTACAGACCTCATGTGGACAAAATTAAATAAGCACAATGCCACAAACCTAGCGAGCATTCAGTAAATGCTTGTCATCATATTTTCATATTAAAATTACAGACTTCAGAAAATACATTTCTATTACACGTCGACCAAAACTGTAAAAAAATAAAATCCAGCTAATTTTTGGAAAGATTAACCCACCTGAAGGTCACATGAATAAAACTATTAATATGATTGTTTAATGTGGTTAAGAGCTACAGAAGCGCTAAGCGCCACACTGTGTAGCACATAGAGAGGCCGTGCTGACGTGCACACTGACGGGACGTGTGGTTACACATGAAGGGAGGATGGGTGCTGAGGCCACAGCTCAGCAGTGCCAGGACTCGGGCTGCCCCACGTTTGTGACCACTCCTCTCATCTTAACTTATTCTCCTAGTCTACCTCCTTGCTACTTTCTCTGATTCCTGCTGGAACAAAGGAAGATGGGTGTTTCCTCTCACATCCCCATAGTGACAACTGCGTTGGAGGAGTCTGGGGGTGGAAGAATGGTTCAGGACGACTAAAGGGCGGGGACACGGAAACGCCGGAACAACTTCTGAAGGGAGGCAGGGCTGGTGCCCACTGGGGTCGAGGAGGAAACCTGTGAAAGAACATGCTCTGACTCTGGGCAGGAAGCAAGGGCTTCCAAGCACCAAGCACGTGCGAGCTCGTTAGGAGAGAAGAGGGGGCAGAAGACAGGGGCACAGGGGCGGTCGGGGCGGCGGCTAGGACAGCGCTTTTTCACATGGTATTCTGATTCCTGACTCCACTGACACTTCTGTTTCTTGTACTACTGGTTTGAGATCATGGTTATTGATTTCTTAAAGTTCTTATTCCTTCATTCTAAAGGGGATGAACTCAATTTCATCCAATGAAATATAACTCTCAGAATAGTACTGAACATGCAATATAACACACAGAGTATTTCTGAACAGGTTAGACAAGAAGCAGATGCTCACCAGAGTGCGCTTACTGCCGGACTAACCTGCTTCAGGTGGGGCTCAGGGGGAGAGATTTGCTAAAGCTTCAGAATCTAGGAAGGACACGGCTACAGTTCTGCTAATGCAATTCTCTTCATCTATCCCAGGAAGGAGGAGGTATTCTAGGCTTTGCCTCGTCTCTGTCAACCACCTGTGTTGCAGTGCCGTCGAGAGTGGCACAGATGGCTCCATAGACCCTCCCCAGCTGCCCTCGGCTGGTCCTCACATGGACCCCGAACAGCCACTAGCAAAATGAGGCACTAGCCTTGGTCCAGTCTGACTAAACTATCTGGATGCCAACAGTTTTTCCACAAGTGTCCTTCTTCTGCCCCTTGGTCCCAGCCAGGATGCCACACTGCCTCTCTCATCACATCTCCTGAGGCTCCGGAGATCTGGCCAGCCCCTTCCTCTTTCCCATCTTCAATGACCCGGACACTTGTCAAAGCTCCGGTCAGCGATGCTGTGGAATGCCCCAGTGTGCGTTTGCCTGCTGCCTTCTAAGGACTGGACTGTTGGGGCAGAAAGGGCGGCGTGTCCCCCAGTGTGCAGCACTAGGAGGACATGGCGTGTGTTCACTGGTTACATGACTTCTGCCCACTTGGTTAAGACGGTGTCTTCCGGGTTTCTTGCTGTTCAATTACATTTTTTCCCTTTGTATTTGTATCTTGGGAAAACTGGGCCGGCCTGGCGGCATAGAGGTTAAGTTTGCGTGCTCCACTTTGGCAGCTTGGGGTTTGCTGGTTAGCATCCCAGGTGCAAGCCTAGCACTGCTCATCAAGGCACGCTGTGACGGCCTCCCACATACAAAATAGAGGAAGATGGGCACAGATGTTAGCTCAGGGACAATCTTCCTCACATACACAAAAACACAAAAAAAATCCAGTTATCTTGGGAAGACACTTCCAGACAAAGCAGCTACTGTCTCTCTCCATTCCTCTGCCCACGGACTTCTGTGCCCACTGGGGCCTCTGCACAGCACTTACTGCTCTGTGTTCCCACGTGCCTTCCCAGCTCCCTCATGCTCTCACCTGTGGAACGGAATGCCCCACTGGGGAGGGGTTCTCTCTCTCTCTATATTAGTAAGGACTTGGGGTGTTGGCTTTATTCTGGGGTTATAATGGAATACCACTGTTATTTATCTTGTTGCTCAAGATGCTCCAAGTCTGGCTGTCAGGCACTCTTCCAGGCTGAGGCCTGTGCCATCTGACATGCCACCATTACTGGTGGTGTTCATCTCTGAGCCCATCCTTACTTTCTGGCTCACAGCTGCTCCAGGCTCATCTTGCACTTTCCCTGTCTAAGGTGCTGGCACTCCACTTAGTGCCTGACGGCGTGGCATCTCCTCTGGGATCTGGACACCGGGTTGCTCCCTGCCACTGCACTCCCGCTCAGCAGATGACCTAGGACATGTGTGCACACATGTGTCTGTGTTTCTTTCTGCATCTGTCTGTACCTGCACTAACATGCATCACCTGACTCCCCCCAGCCCAGCAGCCCCCGCCTCATAGTGAGAAGGCTGGTTCTCGTCTGCCGCCACACAGCACCATCCGCTCAGCCCTGGGCCACACACAGAGCAGGTCCCTGCAGAAACACGTGACCCACGGAGTTCGGGGTTGTGCGTGGCTCTTCTGGTCTCCAGCCTCCCAGCAGACTCAGACACTTTTCCCAAAGTGACTTAGAGCAGCTCCTCTCCTCCCCCACCCACCCTGACCCTATGAGACTGTGACTCAGCGCCGTGTGGTCAGATTCATCACAGTCTGCGCTCCAGCTCTCCCGACTCCTCTCTGGGCGGGCCGCAGTCCTTAGGGTTCTGAGAAGTGCAGTCTCGTGCCCAGCACAGTGCCAGATGGAACAGACCCCTCACCCCAAAAGTGACCCTTTTCAGTCACCCCCTCCCACCCCAAAACCTTTGGTACCACTGATCTGTTTTCTGCCCCTGTAG